TTCTTCAGTAGAACACAAACGAAGATTTTTAACTCAAACCGTTGCAGTCTGTCAGTCATTTTAGTGTCAGGGTTTAATTTGGTTTTGTTTGTGTATGTTTTTTTGACTCTCAAAACCGTGATTCCCATTCACTTCCATTATTTGACTGACAGACTGCAACGGTTTGAGTTCAAAATCTTCGTTTGTGTTCTACTGAAGAAACAAAGTCACCTACATCTTGGATGCCCTGGGGGTAAGCAGATAAACATAAAATTTTCATTTTTGGGTGAACTATCCCTTTAATTAGAGGCTGCTGGGTAATTGTGTTTATGTTTCACTGTGTTTATGTGTACGTGTCTTTCATCATGAGGTGTTTCAAAGTCACAATGTTAGAGTTTGTGCGGTAAAGTGTGAAAATATACAAACGCACACTTCTGAATAGTCATTTAGCTGGAAAAATACATTATAATAATATGTTATGCATTGCAGCAAGGCAAGGCAAGTTTATTTATATAGCACATTTCATACACAATGGTAGTACAAAGTGCTTTACATAAAATAAATGAAAAAATAATAAAATAAAATAATCACAACAATAAAACAAGGAATGAAAATGAAATGTTATATTACAGTGATATAGAAATAAAATACAGTAAGAACAGTGATATTGTGAAATATTATTGCAATTTCAAAAAACTGTTTTCTACTTCAATATATTATAAAATGTATTTTATTCCTGTGATGCGCAGCTGTATTTTCAGCATCATTACTCCAGCCTTCAGTGTCACATGATCTTCAGAAATCATTCTAATATGCTGATTTGCTGCGAAGTTATTATCAATTATTAATGGTGCTCAATTATTAATAATGATTCTCAATGTTGCTGTTTAATATTTTTGTGGAAACCATGTTACTTTTTTAGGATTCTTTGATGAATAGAAAGTTCAAAAGAACAGAATTTATTTGAAATAGAAATCTTTAGTAACATTATAAATGTCTTGACTGTCACTTTTGATCAATTTAATGCATATTTGCTGAATAAAAGTATTCTTCTTTTTTTTTAATCACACTTACTCCAAACTTTTGAATAGTAGTATATCACGGTTTCCACAAAAATATGAAGCCAAACAACTGTTTTTGACATTGATAATCTGATAATCAGAATTGTTTCTTGAGCAGCAAATCAGCGTATTAGAATGATTTCTGAAGGATCATGTGACACTGAAGACTGGAGTAATGATGCTGAAAATTCAGCTTTGCATCACAGGAATAAATTACATTTTATAATATATTGAAGTAGAAAACAGTTTTTTTAAATTGTAATAATATTTCAGAATATTACTGATTTTACTGTATTTTTTTATCAAATAAATGAAGCCATGGTGAGCAGAAGACACTCAAAAACATTGTAAAATCATAATTATTCCAAGCATTTTACTATCTATATATATATATATATATATATAGTGGAAACATAGAGAAACAGTCTATCTGCTTTTCCTCTCTTGCAGCTGAGACGCATGCAGCAGATGATCGCTCAGATGCAAGCTCAGATGAAGATGAAACCAGGAGACGACTAAGTGTGTGTTTGTGTTTATGTGTCTGTTGTGGGAACAGGAAGTGCCATCTGACTGGAGGTTACATTATCCTACCCATTTCTAAACACTATTTGCTTGTCCAATCCCTCATGTTTATCAGATTAATGGAACGTAACCTTAATGTTGTCTAATTGATGTAACCAATCACTCACGATCACAGCTCCACCCATATGAATAACTGCAACACTGAAACAAACGGTCCATTATCATGTCATTTAATCTATCGGGTTAGACGCTGTTAATAATTTATGGTTTCATTGACAATGTTCAGCATATGTTCATCTGTAGATTGATCAGGGTTTGTGGTCCGCCGGAGACTAGATGTTTTTCTGTGCCAAACACTCTTTGTAAGATGCTTGTTTTGAACCAGTCATGCATCAGGCTGGCATATGTTTACCAGATCTCCTTGTCAATACTTTATAAAGCATATATATATTACTTTGACTGCGGATACATGGGTTAAAATAAGAGGACGATGCACTAGTAAATGAACCTGGTCAAGTTTACAGTTTTATCAGATGCACAGGTTCATAATCGTCGTGAATTAATATCAGAGTTTGCTGGACTGGTTTATGAAAAAGCGGTCGTGTTTAGCACATACAAATTTCATCACAAAAAGTATCACTAACAAAGAAACAGATGCTCTCATCATATGCATAGTGTTGATTTGAGCTGCATTGGGCAGCGCTTCCCTCTAGTGGACTACAGAAAAACAACCTGAAGTACTATAGAAGGCACATAAACGGGACACTTTGCCTGCATCATGAAAAAACTAAGACTACAATTGGACATCATGTTTGCATTTTGTCAATAATACAATATCTGATCATCTTTTTGAAAGAGAAATCGGTTAATAAAGCGGCTCAGCAAATGTATACGTGTTCACCTTTCTTAGAGAGTGTGAATCTAGTAAAGTGATGGTAAAGTTATGTTTATTGTGGACGCACTGGTTCAGCTGTCAGTTTGTATTTTGATTCACAGAAATGCCTTAAAACTCCATTTAGAGACATGGTGCACACATTTCTCTTCTTTTATACTTATTCTTATGGTTTGTTTTTTTTTCTATCATTTTTATTGCTTGATCTTCACTTTATTTACTACTTAAACATTAACATCTACTGCAGTGATCTTTATATTTCTTGGTTAGCAGCTGGAGCCTTTATAACTGTATGTTTTAAAAGTTCATCAAAACGGTACAAGGTCTAAGAAACGGACTGAAACGCACCATCGCTGCACTGCACATCGATGTCCGAGTCATTTTACAGCATTGTAGTGAGTTATTTGCTAATTATTAATGTCTGCTGTAAACACATCGATTCTGATTTGTTGTATTTGTGGTTCAGCCCAGTTATTTTGACTCGGTTATCTCCTGTTTAGGCCTTTTTTAAAGGATTAACACAGTTGTCGTTGTGCGGTACAGTAATGCTTACTTCCCTGTTTTACATGGTCCTTTTTGTATTTGCTCATGTTGAGAAATAAATAACTTTCTGAGTCATTTGTTTTGAACGCTTTAGTATCCTGCAAGCATAAAGTCTCAGAAATGGTTTGTGGATTTGTGTAAATTTAATCAATTTCTGTTTGTACACCGTAAATAATATTTTGCTCAACAGTGAAATTTTATTATGCTTTTTTGATTCATCATTTTTGACTAGTTTAATTGACCCTGCAAATTATATGCATTTTTCAATTAAAGACTGTAAAATTGATTGACACTAAATATAGCTTTTTTCCCCATTTTCTTTACTTAATGTAAACTTTTGTAAACACGGCTGCATTTTTAGAACATTTTAAAATTAGGTGCATTTAAAATGTGTGTTTCTTTTTTCATTAAAGACTGTAATAATTGACACTAAATATAGTTTTTGTTTTTGTTTTTTTACTAAATGTAAACATTTCATTTTTATATAATTTTCAATCAAAAACTGTGTCCGTATCCATTTTAGGCTGCAAAGCAACAAAATGTGTTTATTTAAAAGGGGGGTGATTCTTTTCTATACAGGCTGTATGCAACAACAACAACAAAAAACTATAGATTTAATGTAATTTAATACAATGAAAAGGGTTTTTTATATTTACCCTTATCTATATTTGTTTTTAATGATTATTTTAGCCAAGCTGGTTTTGATCTTTTCACAAAATAATGCATTTTTATTTACCAAAGTAACATTAAGCAGCATTGTTGTAGAGTTCTGTAAGCTGTGTCAATGAATGACGTATCGATGGGCGTGGTTTCGTCTGTGGTGGCCCCGCCCCTCTTCGCCTGGGGTTCCCAGCGGGGCTGAGCGTGAGACAGACGGAACCCGAGCAGAGCAGAGCCGCAGAGAGCGAGACGGCCTGAAACATGACCACCAACATCCGATATAAGAGCAGAATGATGAAATCCGGTAATGACACAAACGCTGGCACTGTTTTACTCTGTTTGACTGGATGAAATGCTGATGATTTCTCTCTTCCTGCCTGTGCGTCTTCATCCCTCCCGCATCCCGCACCTGCTTCCCACATCCGACCTGATGCTGCTGTCGATGGTCGCATTCAGAGGACAGTGAGGTGAGAAACGAGAAACTGCACCACATTTCGCAATTTCAATTCAGTTGTAGAGTTCCCACGAATTCGGTTTACAAACCACCATCATTTCCACACAGATAAACCGCGCGACATAAAATCTCACGACCCTCAGTTTTAAGTCTGACAGGGCGTTTTATGCATTTTGTGATTGCAAATCATTTTTGTGTGTTCGTGTTCGTGTTTACGAGGTTTCAAATCATTTCGGCTGATTGTGCCCTCGACTGACGCACTTTATTTCTCATCATCTCAGCCCTCAGGATTATAATGTGCGCTGTCATACATTCTAGCTTTGACGAAATCTGGTGTCTGCTGGCTGTTTAGTGTCGTTTTGAGCTCTGATAGAGGATGATAGTACTGTTTCTCTCTGGAGGTGTTGTCATGGTTACAGGAGCCGGAGTGTGTGAGAGGGGGGCGAGTGAGCAGATGCCTGAAGTGTGAACCCTGAGCTCTGTGTGTGCAAATACATGTTTATAGTATTTGGTGAATATTTGCTGAAAAGAAATAGAGTGTTAACTCCTGAAGCAATCAGATCTGTTGGTGGTTTGCACCTAAATGTTGTTTCACACATTCTAGTATCACTCATAAAATGGTTTGGCGATCATTTTTATTTATGTGTTGATGTATTTTTCTAGCTCGACTGACGCACTTTATTTCTCATCATCTCAGCCGTCAGGATTATAATGTGCGCTGTCATACATTCTAGCCTTGACGAAATCTGGTGTCTGCTGGCTGTTTAGTGTCGTTTTGAGCTCTGATAGAGGATGATAGTGCTGTTTCTCTCTGGAGGTGTTGTCATGGTTACAGGAGCCGGAGTGTGTGAGAGGGGGGCGAGTGAGCAGATGCCTGAAGTGTGAACCCTGAGCTCTGTGTGTGCAAATACATGTTTATAGTATTTGGTGAATATTTGCTGAAAAGAAATAGAGTGTTAACTCCTGAAGCAATCAGATCTGTTGGTGGTTTGCACCTAAATGTTGTTTCACACATTCTAGTATCACTCATAAAATGGTTTGGCGATCATTTTTATTTATGTGTTGATGTATTTTTCTAGCTAATAGACTTTAGTTCATGTTACAATCCAGTATACGTGGTATTATCATGTTATTGGACACATATCCACAATTGGACATCAGTATTTTTGAATCATTGTATATTTTAAAAATGTAAAAGTTTGGGGTCAGTAAGATTACTTTTTAAAATTTATTATTATTATTATTATTATTATGCAAGAATGTATTAAATTCATCAAAAAGTGACAGTTAAATCATTTATAACGTTGCAAAAGATTTCTATTTCAAATAAATGCTGTTCAAAGAATCTGTTTCCACAAAAATATTCGGCAGCACAACTGCTTTTAACATTGATGATAATCAGAAATGTTTCTTGAGCAGCAAATCAGCATATTAGAATGATTTCTGAAGATCATGTGACACTGAAGACTGGAGTAATGATGCTAAAAATCCAGCTTTGATCACAGAAATAAATTACAGTTTAAAATATATTCAAATAGAAAACAGTTATTTTAAATTGTAATAATATTTCACAATTTTACTGTTTTTACTGTATTTTTGATCAAATAAATGCAGCCTTGGTGAGAAGAAGAGACTTCTTCCAAAAACATGTGAAAACTTACAGACCTCAAACTTTTGAACAACAATGTATATCTGCTAAAAGTTTTTTCATCATTCAGAAGTATTAGCATGTAGATATAATGCAAGTATGTAAATATAAATTGCTTTTTAATTTTACAAACAATCACAAAGAAATGGCAAGTAACACATTGAATTAAACAAAACTTTGAAACTTTGTAGTAGAAAAACTGAAGTATTTTCCATGTAAAACATACTCCAATAATCTTTGTTTTATTAAAAAAATTTTTACAGTATAAAAGCATCTGCTAAATGATACAGCAATGCTTTAATGCTGGAAACATTCTGTTTCACTATGTAGACTGAAGCTGTTCAGAAGGTTAGTAATTTCACGCAGCTTCCAGCACTTGACCTATACACACACACACACACATGTAGTTACTAGAAAGCTCATCATCCTACGCAAAAGCAGAAATGCAACAGTTCACACACACACACACACACACACACACTGTCAATGTTACAAGATCTCTCTCTCACACTCATTCTCCTGTTCCTTCCTTCTCCCCTTGTCATTTTCTGGTCTCTTTCTCTCTCTCTCTGCATTGAGGTTTAATAACTTAATGGTGTGGAAGGTTGGCTGCCATTTCAGACACGTCTTATTTATCTCTGAAAAGGTCACTGCATTGAAATAAGACTGTGTGTAAGTGTGTGTGTGTGTGTGTGTGTGTGTGTGTTTCTATAGAATGACCTGTCTGCAGTGTGCTGTCAGCTTAGTGCGCAGCTGCATGCAACGTGACAGATGGCAGAATTGAAGTTTCTTTTGATCATGAAGTCAAATGGCCTGTGCAGTTGCTCAAATGCCACAGCAAGAAACATCCATCTCAGTATCTAGTATGAGAGAGGACAGAGTGTTCTGTAAGTGCTCCAGACAGAAATTTTATATTTGGTCGAACTTTTGCTGTAAATGTGAGCCTGTTTAGCTCATATACTCCACTGTTCAAAAGTTTGGGTCAGTACGATTTTTTCTTTTTGAAAGAAATTAATACTTTTATTCAGAAAGCACGCATAAAATTGATCAAAAGTGTCAGTAAAACATTTATATTACAAAAGATTTATATTTCAAATAAATGCTGTTCTGTTGAACTTCCTATTCATCATGCATCACGCTTTCCACAAAAATGTGAAGCAGCACAACGGTTTTCAATATAAAAATGATTCAGATTAGAATGATTTCTGAAGGATCATGTGAGACTGAAAACTGGAGTAATGATGCTGAACATTCAGCTTAGCATCACAGGAATGCTAGGGTGTTCTGGGTGGTTGCCAGGCTGTTGCTATGCAGCGGCTTATGTATTCTCAATGACTTTATGTGCATTGCTATGCAGTTGCAGTGAATCCCAGTGAATTGCTATCCCTGCAGTAGCAGTTCTTCTTAATCTGTTGCTATGTGATTGCTAGGGTGTTCTGGGTGGTTGCCAGGGCATTGCTATGCAGTTGCTAGGGTGTTCTGGGTGGTTGCCAGAGTGTTGCTATGCAGTTGCTAGGGTGTTCTGGGTGGTTGCCAGAGTGTTGCTATGCAGTTTCTAAGAGATTCTGAATGACTTTCTTTGCATTGTTGATGTGTGATTTCTAGGATGTTCTGAGTGGTTGTCATGGTGTTGCTATGTTGCTATAGTTGATAAAGCATTCTGAATGCCTTTCTGTGAGCCACTGTGGTTATTGGTGTGGGTGGTTTACAAGGCGTTGCTATTGATGTGTGGTTTCTAGGATGTTCTGAGTGGTTGTCATGGTGTTACTATGCAGTTGATAAAGCATTCTGAATGCCTTTCTGTGAGCCACTGTGGTTATTGGTGTGGGTGGTTTACAAGGCGTTGCTATGCTATTCCTAAAGTATTCTGAATGCCTGTCTCTGCGTTGTTATGTTGTGTTGGGTGTTCTAGTTGGTTTCCCGGGTGTTGCTATGCCGTTGCTAAGATGATATAAATGGCTTTGTGTGCATTGCTGTGGGGTTACTACGGTGTTCTCAGTGGTTTCCAGGGTGTTGTTATGCAGTTGCAAAAGTGTTTTGAGTTTGTGATCAAACGGTGTTAAATAAAAGCGGTTTCCTCCATTTCTTTTGACACGTTTGAAGACGTGTTTCTTTAATACACTGATCATATTGGAGTTCCTCAAACAGCACTGATTAAAAACAATACAGATATTGGTCTGTGTCTGGTGAGGGTTGTTCCAGGTGGCACTCATGGGGAGGGCAGCTGGACAGTGAGAGGGTGTTGTTCTCTGTTAGGAGGGGGATCAGGACTATTGTATCACTGAAGGACATCTGTTCTGCTCTATTCAACAGACCCCCTCTGGATGTTTCCTCCATTTCTTTTGACACGTTTGAAGACGTGTTTCTTTAAATACACTGATTGTATTGGAGTTCCTCAAACAGCACTGATGAAAAACAATACAGATATTGGTCTGTGTCTGGTGAGGGTTGTTCCAGGTGGCACTCATGGAGGGCAGCTGGACAGTGAGAGGGTGTTGTTCTCTGTTAGGAGGGGGATCAGGACTATTGTATCACTGAAGGACATCTGTTCTGCTCTATTCAACAGACCCCCTCTGGACCCCCACCAGCACACTCATCATCTATATGCATGACCAGACCCCCATAATGAGGTGAATCATGCTTCATATGAAGATTTTTATTAGTGCTGTTTGCTCAGACATCACTATTACTATTGCTCATATTAGGGTTAGTGATCTGAACGAACCCCGAACCTTTAACTCTAACCCTAACAGAATTGCATAGGCAAGCATTTCATTCAGAAAATGTGAAAAATCTAGTTTGAAGATGTTCAGTCACACACATATTCACAGAATCTGGTCCGACAGGCTTTGAGTGTCATCACTACGAGCACATGCATGTAATATTACACATTAGGCGGGAATTTTATGACACATTCAGTTTTAATGCATTTAAGCTTACATTCATTAACTTTTGTGGTTCATTACATTCCGATTATCTAAATATAATGTCAATTGATTCAATTTTCATGTTATATAAGAGAGTCACTGAATTGTGTCATTAGTTGTGATATCAGGTGTCAGGATGAAACAATTACATTATGAATTTGTGTGTATATGTGAATGATTTTACTGCTCTTGTGCATGGAGAGAAAATCCTTGAGTTTCATTATACTAGTGCCCCCTGGTGGAATTATATATATATAGAGAGAGAGAGAGAGAGAGACACTGTGTTCAGAGTCTAAAAGATTTTTTTTAAAGCAGTCTGTTTTGCTCATCAAGGCTCATGATCCTTCAGAAATCATTCTAATATGCTGATTTGCTGCTTAAGAAACATTTCTGATTATTATCAATGTTGAAAACAGTTGTGCTACTTCATATTTTTGTTGAAACCATGATACATTTTTGAGGATTTTTTGATGAATAGAAAGTTCAAAACAACAAAAAATATTTGAAATAGAAATCTTTGTAACATTATAAATGTTTTACTGTCACTTTTGATCAATTTATTCCATCCTGCTAAATAAAATTATTCATTTTATTTAAAAAAAAAAAAATCTTACTGACCCCATGCATCATCATAGCATTTGAAAATAATGCTATAGTAAAGGTCAGGCTGCTGTGCTGTAGTCTGTAGAAAAGCTGTGCCAGTCTGGCAAGGTCTGTTGGGAAGGGTGTGGCTGCCGTCTTACTAAATGTGTCTTGCTCCCTAAAAAATACACACACACACACAGAAATCCCTGCACCTCAGAGCCATCTGTGGAAAAAAAAGTGGGGGAGGAATGAAGGACTAAATGAATGAGTGTTTTTATTCCCGTTTTCAGTTGCCCCCCTTCCTGTCTAAAATTGCTTCCATGCTTTTTTTTTCTTTACGTCTTTTCGTTTTTCTCACTCTCTCTCTCAGTCAGTACCTTCTTTTGTCAGTCTTTCATTCAGTCATGTGGGGATTCTTCTGCCTGCCTGTCTGAACACGGCGCGCTGGGATGTGCCGTGGGCCAGAGACAAACAGAAAACAGGGAAAAGGAAACCAGAGAGGGTTTATAGAGGCAGAGAGTGATAAACTGAGGGTCACGCGGGTATAAAGAGGGACGGCACACATTTCTGAGACGTCTGGTTCAGGATGGACACCATGATATATATATATATATATATATATATATGCTTCAGTTTTGTTTATTAGTGTTATTGTAAATAGTATGTAGTCACAAGCATGATATTGTGTAAATTTTGTTTGTGTTAGTGTTAGTGGTGTTTGTTCATACGTAGTTAGAGATTTAAAGTAGTAAACAACCACTCAGAATACTATAGCAACTGCTTAGCAACACCCTAGCAGCCTCATAGCAACGTGCTTAAATAATTCAGTATACTTTAGCAATCACATGAAGCCTTGAAATATAATGCATTATAAAAGTATTTGTAATGCATTAATTATGCCTTGCAGTGCACCATTTAATGCATTGCATGATCTCATGAATAATGGTAACCATGGTTATAATGCATTATAATACTTATGTATACATTGTTACACCTTTAGAAATATTATGCATGATGAATGGAAGCCTGTTTCCGCCACAGAATAAAAAAAGAAATAAATAAAAATAAAAACCGTAATTGCAACTTTTTATCTCACAATTTGGAATTTTTTTTTTTCTTTTTTTTTTCAATTCTGAGTTTATATCTCACTATTTGGACTTATTTTAAAATTGCGAGATATAAACTCAAAATTGCAAGATACGAACTCAGAATCGCAAGGAAGTCAGAATTGTGATATATAAGCTTGCAATTGCAAGAAAAAAAACAGAATTGCAAGATGTAAACTCAGAATTGTGAGATGTAAACTCTAATGTAAATTGCGAGAAAAAAAAGCAGAATTCTGAATTTTTTTTCTTTCTCAGAACTGCAAGAAACAAAGTATAAACTCAGAATTGTGGGACAAAAGTCCAAATTGTGAGATAAAAAGTCGCAATTACCTTTTTTTTCTGCATGATAAACCAATTTTTAGATGCAACAAGGAATCTGAAAAAACTAAAATGCATTATAATATTTTTAGATTTTATTCATGAAAACATATAATGCATTACAATGTGCATTATACTGTGAATACCTTTATAATGCATTGTACATAAAGGCTACAAGTGTTACCACTTTTTCTTCATAAAATGTAAAAATCTAGTTGAGCACACATGCATCTTTATTCCTCTTCTCTCACACACACTGTACTTGTGGGGTGAGATAAGGCAGGGTTTCTCTTTTCTAAGATGATGGACAGCGGAAACACACATGACAGGTTGTGAGATGCTCTGGCAGTCGGATGAGTTGAGTTTGGCCCAAGTTTGAGTGTGTTAAAAAGGCCTTTTCAGCGTATGTAAATATGGCTTCTGTCTGTGTGTATGTGGTCACTCAGTTTGGCCTGCACACTGAGCTGGTTCTGCTGTCAGGTTTAATAGAGATTTTGCTTCCCGTCAGTAATGTCTGTGTTCTCCGTGTCCGTTTGAGTGGTTATGACTGCTGAGCGGTTTCCGGCACAGTTGGTAGATCTGCAGGAGACTCAACACTACTGGGCTTTTTATTCTGTGCTATTTTTGTGCCAGTCTGACGATTCACAGAAGTTCGGTCTTAAAGGGACGGTTCACCCTATAATCCTTCAAAACCTATATAACTTACTTTCTTCCATAAAATGCAAAAGAATAAATGATACAGAATGTTAATGTTTTGACTTGTGTCTTTCAGGACAAACAGTATGTTGGCTTTGCTACGCTTCCTAATCAAGTCCACAGGAAGTCGGTGAAGAAGGGCTTTGACTTCACTCTGATGGTGGCAGGTACGGCTGAGATCCTCACAATAACATGTGACACTGACTTCATGTTCATCTTTGTCAATAACAATTTCACTGTATGTGTTTTAGGTGAATCTGGATTGGGAAAGTCTACTCTAGTTAACAGTCTCTTCCTCACAGATCTTTATAAAGACAGAAAATTGCTAAATGCAGAAGGTAAGAATTGTCTTAAAGGAACAGTACACCCCAAAATAACAATTCTGTTATTGTTATATAAGAATACAATATACACTGCTACTTGTTTTGTTTTTTGTTTGTTTTTTAAAAGAAATTAATACTTTTATTCATCAAGAATTCATTAAATTGATCAAAAGTGATAGTAAAGACATTTATAATGTTACAAAAGATTTCTATTTCAAATAAATTCTGTTCTTTTGAACTTTCTATTCATCAAAGAAGCATAAAAAACTAAAATGTATCATTGTGTCTACAAAAATATGAAGCAGCACAACTGTTTTCAACATTAATAATAATCATAAATGTTTCATGTGCAGCAAATCAGCATATTAGAATGATTTCTGAAGGATCATGTGACACTGAAGCCTGGAGTAATGATGCTGAAAATTCTGCTTTTCATCCCAGGAATAAATTACATTTTAAGATATATTCAGATAGAAAACAGTTATTTTAAATTGTCATAATATTTCACAATATTACTGTTTATACTGTATTTCTGATTAAATAATGTAGATGCAGCCTTGAGGAGTAGAAGAGACAAAAAAAAACATTAAAAAGTCTTACCAACCCAAAGCTTTTTAACAGTAGTGTAGCATATACACAAGTTTACATCTCTTCAACAGGTTTGTTAGTTTGAATGCTATATTGTGCGTTTCCTGTAACAGAGCGTATTAATCAGACGGTTGAGATCACCAAACACACGGTTGACATCGAGGAGAAAGGAGTCAAACTCAAACTCACCATTGTGGACACGCCGGGGTTTGGAGACGCGGTCAATAACAATGAATGGTGAGAATTCAGCTGCTCTCAGCATCCCATGAGCACAGTTACGAAACGGATAGTTACAGTCGTAAATGCTGATTGCTCAATACAGCATTTTATGAAAGCTCTTTAGTCATGTCTGTATTCATAATACAGTAGCCTTGAGAGCCTGAGTGGTTGATGAAAATCTAATAATTAAATAAATCATTAAAAATTAAATAAAGAAAGAAAATAATAAAAAATAAACTAAAATAAAAGATAACAAATGTTAAAATAAATGCATAACTTTAAAAGAAAAACAATCAAAATAAAATACTTACTAAAAACGATTTACTTTTTTTTTTGCCTGCATGTCATGTGACCATTATTAACTGATATTAGACATTTGTGCACATGCAAATGTGTTGTTAAGTTATTAAAATATTAACTTCTCAGGGTGAATATAAGTAATTATTTTAGATCAGCTGACAAAAAAGCCTTAGTGTGTTATTGTGTACATTTGTGTTACTCTGAAGAGTGTGTGTTTGTGTGTGTGTTTGCAGTTGGAGGCCCATCACAGACTACACTGACCAGCAGTTTGAACAGTACTTCAGAGACGAGAGTGGACTGAACAGAAAGAACATATTAGACAACAGAGTGCACTGCTGTCTGTACTTCATTCCGCCGTTTGGACACGGGTACGAGCGGGTTTAACGGGTCTGTCTTGCATGGGTCAGGTTCATATGCATCATCTTCATATTTGCATAATCTGGCTCAGGCCATCGAAAATGTAGATGAGTTCGTTTCTGCATCAGATTTGGAGAAATGTAGCATTGCATCACTTGCTCAGCAATGGATCCTCTGCAGTGAATGGGTGCCGTCAGAATGAGAGTCCAAACAGCTGATAAAAACATCACAGTAATCCACAAGTAATCCACACCACTACAGTCCATCAGTTAACATCTTGTGAAGCCTAAAGCTGTGTGTGTGTTTGTAAGGAACAAATCCATGTTTTTAACTTCAAACTGTTGCTTCCAGTTGTTTCCGAATCCATAATCCATAATATTGGTTTCTCCAGTGAAAAGTTTGTCTTGTTTGAATCAGGAGAGAAATCTGCACAGATCAAGCACCGTTTACAAGCCAAAACAGTCCAAAATAGTTTTAAACAAATATGTGTGTAGATTTTGATGTGAGAGAACAGCAGAGGATTGACTTTTTCTCTGGAGGAAGCGTTATTATGGATTATGGACTCATATTTTGCAATAGTTTGAAGTTAAAAAAGTCTTAATGATGGATTTGTTTCTTACAAACACGCAGAATTTCATTTCTCAGGATGTTAATTGATGGACTGGAGTGGTGTGGATTACTTGTGGATTATTGTGATGTTTTTATCAGCTGTTTGGACTCTCATTCTGACGGCACCCATTCACTGCAGAGCATCCATTGGTGAGCAAGTGATGTAATGCTACATTTCTCCAAAGCTGATGAAGAAACAAACTCATCTATATTTTGGATGACCTGAGGGTGAGGACATTTTCAGCAAATTTAAATGTTTGGGTAAACTATACCTTTAACAAACCTGACACTGACTTCATATCATTCTTGAGTATGAATGTGTTAAAAGTAAACATATTTGACTTTCTGTCCATGCTGGTAGTCTCAACTTGTGAAAAATACCCTGTCTTCTTAATAAAAAATTATACAGTTTTTAAATACATAATAGAAGTGAATAGAATGGAATTTAGAGATGGGTGGTGGTGAAATGTCCTTGATCTCCATATGAATATCATAAGCATCAGATGTTCAGACTCTGTTATTTCTGCTGTGCAGTTTGCGGCCGGTGGACGTGGAGTTCATGAAGGCTCTGCATGAGAAAGTGAACATCATTCCTCTGATCTCGAAAGCGGACTGTCTCACTCCTAGTGAGGTCAAAAAGCTCAAGGACAGGGTGAGTGGACACTATCTGATCGCATGTCAACCGTAAATCTGATTCTTTTTTAAAAGTGGTGCTCCTGATGGAATCAGTTATTTTATACTAGGCCAAATGCATCCGATTCAAGCTGGTTGTTTACTGCACATTTGCAGGTTGTGCAGCATGATTGTCATGTTCATAGTGTGGCTCTGTTTTCCTGCAGGTGCGAGACGAGATCGAGCACTTCGGGATTAAAGTGTATCAGTTTCCTGAGTGTGACTCTGATGAAGAGGAGGAGTTCAAACAGATGGACAAAGAGCTGAAGGTCCGGCAAACACATCTCATAAGTCATTTTAACAAAATCTCCAAACACACTTCTAAATATCCGAATTAATTTGAATGAATTTCACTCCGTTTGGGTTGATTTTACTCACATGATGGACTTTTTACAGCTGCCAACAGCTGGAGGAGTGAAGCTTGTCTCCTCTTATGTGTCTTATGTGTGTGTGTGTACTGTAGGAGTGCACTCCGTTCGCTGTCATCGGCAGTAATACAGTGGTGGAGGCCAGAGGTCAGAGGGTCAGAGGTCGTCTTTACCCCTGGGGCATCGTGGAAGGTCAGTATCCTTAAGCCAGAAACGCTCTACACAAGTACACCAAAACAGATATTAACGCTTGGCAAATGGATTGTGCATACTTATAGTATGTTGAAATTTCGACAGAATGTCAAAAGTGCCGTGATGATAGATAGGGCTGGGCGATAAACAATATCATACATGGACATTTTTACTCTGATAGTTCATTTCACAAGCTTTTCACTGGTTCACTATTTCAGTTTTATGATGTAGTTTGTCGCTATACTAACATACTGGACATTATTAGCCAAAACAACACTACACACTTAGAAGCATGCACTTTATCATCATTAGCACAGTGCATACTTGTTCATATGTAGTATATAGTAGTGCAGCTCAAAGAACTCAAACAGAACAGCATAATGCTAGCAAGTCAACAACTCACTGATTCAATGATCAAGTCTAAATGAGCCAAGAACCGGCTCACTGAATGCGAGCGGGACTGATTACGCAAAAAGTGAGTTACTAAGGCCAAATTTTAATATTTATTATTGTAAATGAAAATCATATTTAAGCCATGACTGTCAGGAATTTGTCAACTGAATCTGCGAGCTGTAATATGAAAACTAGTATATTTGCATAGCATTCTTATTAAAATGTTAACACATTTTTGTCCCATGTGACATCTGTACATTTTGTTATCAACATATTTGCAATTTTTTTTAAATGCTATATAGTATATTATTATTATCCCTTGTTTGCACACTTGAATAATCAGTAACTTAAACTGATATATTAGTGTTGGTATAAACTTCAAATTTTGATAGCGTATAATAAGTTTTGGTAGAAAATCAATGCATATTAAATGTGTGCACTAATCTTTCATACTAGTGCTGACTATGACTAGTCTGACGAGTGCTGGCTAGAATAAATAATTAACATGGTTTAACGATCATTATATTTTTACTTTTAATACTTAAGTACATTAAGTACTTTTGTACTTTTACTGGAGTAATATTTTATTAGGGTATCTGTACTTTTACTCAAGTACTTGAGTATTTGTGTACTTGGTCCACCACTGTGTAAATGTAGAGGTATGTGTGTTCATGACAGTGAACTCTATGGCATTTCTATGTGTGTGTTGTTCAGTGGAGAATCAGTCTCACTGTGACTTTGTGAAACTGAGGAACATGCTGATTCGCTCTCACATGCACGACCTGAAAGACGTGACGTGCGACGTGCACTACGAAAACTACCGAGCCCACTGCATCCAGGAGATGACCAGGTGTGTGACATTCACAGAGTGATTAACGTTTGTTTGTTGAACTTTCCAGCATAGATGTGGTTCGTATAATGCACGTTTGTGTTTGTGTGTTTCAGTAAACTTGCGCAGGATAACCGTACGGGCAGTCCACTACCCATCCTGCCTCTGCCCACACCAGACGTGGAGACAGAGAAACTCATCAAGATGAAGGACGAAGAGGTACAAAACGATCATCACTGATAATAAACCAGCACTGAGAAGTGTGCTGTAGTTTTCCATACAGTTATTAGGACGCTAGTGTTATTTTACTGTCATTGAGATACTATTATTGCTTTTATTCATATTTTGAATTAGTATTTATTTTTATATTTTCTGTTTTCATTTTAATTTTAGTTCAACTTTTAGTAATTTTGTTGTTCGTTCTTGTAATTTTTTTATTATATCTATTTATATTTTTTATCTATATATTTTTTTTTCTTCAAATAAGGAAATACACAAGCAATTTATTGTAAAGTAGCAATGCTGCTATGTCAAATTTAGGTAAAAAACTAAATTACTAAACGGTTCAAAAATGTGTGGTTAGAAAAATACAAAAACTGTAAAAAAAAAAAAAAAAAAAAAGACTTTAGATACTGCTTCATACAGTATTTTTGTGGAAACCGTGATACATTTTATTTTCCTGGATTCTTTGATGAATAGAACGTTCAAAAGAACAGCATTTATTTGAAGTAGAATCTTTTGTAACATTCTAAATGGCTTTACTGTCACATTTGATCAATGTAATGAATTGACTTGCTGATTAAAACTATTAATTTCTTTCAAACTAAAAAAAATCTTTTTGACCCCAAACTTTTGAACAGTAGTATAATTTATGTGAAATCAAGCTTTAATACTAATGCACAGTAGAAAAGAGACAACTTGCATAGAAAAGGTGTTTTTCTGGCAAGAGAAAATGAGATATGGGTATAAAAAAAAGGCATGTTGATATTGTTATTGTGCATTTCAGCTTTTTCACCAGTGTAAACTACAAGAAAGTTACAATGACATTTTCCTGACTGTGTGTTGTTTTGTATGTGCAGCTGAAGAGAATGCAGGAGATGCTGGAAAAGATGCAACAACAGATGCATGAGAAAGACCAGTGATGCTGACACACACACACACACACACACTACAGCCCTCACAACAGCCCTCAGATGTGAATGCATTTAAATGATACTTTACAAATGTCATATCTACAGTTCTGACCCTCAGATCCGCTCTGTTCATCTGCTCGGTGCTTCTGTCTGCCTGCATCAAATACAGTGCCGCTGTCATGTGATTCATCATGAACGTACATAAACCAGTCTAACTTAAAGGGTTAGTTCACCCAAAAATGAAAATTAGCCCATAAATTACTCGCCCTCAAGTCATCCTAGGTGTATATGACTTTCTTCTTTCAGATGAATCCAGTCGGAGTTATTAAAAATTGTCTTTGATCTTTCAAGCTGTTTCATGGCACTCAGCGGGTGTTGCATGCATCCGTCCAAAAGCAGTTAAATAAAATGCGCCCATCCATTAAAAAAAAGTGACTCACACGGCTCCAGGGGGTAAACAAAGGCCTTCTGTAGCGAATCGATGCGTTTTTGTAAGAAAAATATCCATATTCAAAACGTAATAATCACTTTAATGTAGCTTGCGCTCACTGTTGTGCACTGGAAGCAGTTCCGGGAGGATAACGTATGGAGGTCGGCTTTGCGCATGCGCCGCTCAGAAGTGACGCACGCGGAAACGCAGCGGAGAGATCAAAACAAAACAACGGTCACTTATTAGAAGTACAAAACGAGGATTTGTAAAGAAGAATGCCGGAGAATTTCAATATAAGGAGTAATTTATGTGCTAATTTTCATTTTTGGGTGAACTAACCCTTTAAATTCACTTCCGAAGGTATCTCATTTATGTTGACTTTTTGTGTGCGAGTTGTTTTCTGAAACAGTGCAGGGGTTCATGGACGTGTGTGTGTGTGTGTGTGTGTTTGGAGAGACAGTGACGTCCTTTCGTGATGAATTTGTTGGGTTTGATGGCGGTTTTGATTTTTATAGTGAATGTGAACATACAGTACGGCTCCAATAACTGTTACCAATAAACATCCTCAGTTCAGATGGCTGGTTTTTGTTTGTTTTATAACAATAATAATCAGAATAAAATCTATTGTTATTATGAGTGTTAATGGCCTTTAATAATTTAATAATTTATATTATTATGTCAATTGTTTATGTACATCTTGAAGTAAAGCTTGCTAATAAATGTGAATAATTTAACAGTTGTCGTTGTGTGTTTACTATAGTTTCATATCCATGTGACTGATCAGTATCTGTTATGTCAGAAGATATATAATTTATAAGATATTTTAAATAACACCACCTTGCAATGCATCATATTTGCTGAATGAAATCGTACAGTTTCACACAGGTGCTGATTCCAAAAATAATGGAAGTTTTGCTCTAGTACGTCACACTTTCTCATGAAATATGACATTTCTCATATATTATGACATGAAGTTTTGTAGTATCCTGCCACAAAGACATGATTCACGTCTTCTTCTGATTACGCATATGCAAATGTAATGTATGTACAGATATTAAATATGCATATATGAAATATTGTCATATGAAGTATAAACATACATGAAACCTATTAGAAATCAATTTCATATATGTACATATATCTACCTAAATATGTATGTTTATGTATGTGTAATACATTTTTGGAAATATATGTCTTCCTGAAACCCGTCAATACATGTTGATATTAAAAGATAGACACATATTAAAAAAAAAACAACAACAACTAGAAAACACAAACTTGCATAGATAAAATATATATTGTTGACACACATGGTTGCTACATATAATAGCATATACAAATGTTATCATATAGATATTTTATGTACATGCACAAATTTTACTGTGGGGATTTTATTTATGTTATGAACTTATATCTTCATCTACCCAGAGAATGTACGTTTGTGAAAATTATATATCGCCTTATAGATATATAACATATATATTTAAGGCAAAATCACTCTTGATACTGGGCAATGTATGTCATATGTTACATTTCCATATGGGTGCAAGTGTTTGTTCAATTCTCAGCTGATTTTCACATGTATGGATGATTCTGAAGACATTATTTTATGCCTAATCCTGATTGCCATTTTTTCCCACTCCTTTGCTGATTTTAAGTTAAATTATGCATTTTGAATATCCTTTTTTTCACATTTGACTACTTTTGTAATTTTGATCAAATTAGGAAATATTAAGCCTTTTTTTTGGAAATCAGCAGAATTATAATTTTTTTTTTCCTTTTATTGAATGTGAACTGTGGTGTAGTTGTCCTGTTTGTTTCAGATACTGGATGATTCCTGTGCTCTTCATTCACTGGCCAATACTGGGAATTTAACTGAGCTCAAAGGAAAAGCGGTTATGATGTCCCAGTATCAGAGAGGGAAAGTGCGGCCCACTTCCTGTCACATATTCCTCTGAGGGGGCGGCAGCGTTAAGGTAGTTTTATCAGTGTGACCCAGCTGGGTTTGATGCTGCAGTCTTAACGCTCCTTCAGACTGATACTGACACACAGACACGCTGGTAAGAACTTCACTTTTAAATTCATCTCACATTTAAACAATTTACACAATATATGCATTAGTTCTGTAACTTAAATATGACTTATTCTTGATTTATTTAGCTGGTAATTAAATATTATTCATCCAAAATTGTTAATCTGTTTCTGCTCACCACCCATTGGGAACCTCAGTGAGCTAAAGGGCTGGTAAACACACGCTTCTATTTAGTGAATAATACGTGTTGCTGGTTAAAATGAGATATTTAAATAAAATAAGAACATAAGCTGTTTTCTAAGTGTCAAATGTTGAGGAATATAACTTTTTATGTTTAATAAAAGAAAATAAAGTATAAAAAATAAAATAGAGCTATATAAAATAAAAAAAGCTTTATTGCAAAAACCTAATAAAATTAAATAAAACAAAATAATATCAAATAAATGGAATACTCTGGCACTGTGACTGTGACACTATATATACCATTGTATTTTCATGTACCATTACATTTATAAAAAAAAAAAAAAAAACTTACCATTGTGCATGCCAAAAACATGATATTGCATTGGTTTTGCAATATCCAATAACATTTTAGTACTTGTTTGTCAGCATTAATTGTATTTAATTATAAATTAATAGTTTCATTGAATTAAATGTTTTTGTCATTTTGCAATTCAATTTCAACCTAAAAATGTGCATTAGATTTGTAAGTGTTTTTTCCTCTACATTGAGACCATGAAATGTTTGTATCATCCTGGTACTTTATCTTTGTCTTCACTGCTTCCTTTGCTTCCTCCTGAAATTCCAGATAAGCCTAAACATCGCTGTCTGTTCAGTTTAGCACTCCATACATGGAACCAACAAATATTTGAACACTAAAAATATCTTGATGTCACTGCATTAGAACACAATCCCATTTATTGCACACGTGGTGCACTGATGAATCGATCACAGTAAGAGCAGGAACATGTGTCAGGATTTTGACGGTGATTTCGTGTCTCTCTGCAGTGTGTGTGTGCTGGCATGCGGTGTTTTGCGCTCGTGTTGAAGGTCGTGCTGTCATTGCTGGGCAGTGAGATGACCGTGGCTCAGCTCTCGTGTCCTGAGGTGTGTTCCTGCGCGGCCGGTGTGGTGGACTGCAGTAAACGCGGCCTCACCACAGCCAGCCTGCCCTCCTCCTTCCCTCCACACACCACCGAACTCCACCTGAACGACAACCACCTGACGGCTCTGCCCAACGGCCTGCTGGACTCACTGCCCGCCCTGCGCCTGGCCGCTCTCCACGGCAACCCGTGGTCATGTGACTGCGGCATCCTTTCTCTGAGAGGCTGGCTGCTCAAACAGAGAAACAACACTTCCATACGGTGAGTGTCTAGATGAAATATTAAAGATTGATTTTTTTTATTATTCATTTATGCACCAGGCAGTTTTGAGATTTTGGGTTATTTTGCTTCCATAACAGGTCTTCTTGCAGATTAGTGGAAAAAAAAACAACATTTAAAAGTATATTTTATTACACTTTATCTATTTGCATCTTTAGATTTTAAAGGCACAATATGTAATTTTCGCCGCTAGAGGGCGCGTATTCAAAATAAACAAATAGACAAAGGCATAGTTTGATGAAGCAGTGAGTGAGTGTGGAATCATGGGAGTTGTGGTCTTCATCTCCACAGCCGATGCAATCTGACGGGACTCGGGGCAGAAATCATGTTCATGGATGAGCTAATGATTTATTAACATAGTAGAATGAAGCAGGGTGAGGCTGAAAGCCGTCGAAGTGAAACGAGGCCGCTGAACGAGCGTGACACACGGCTCGAAAGCAGCGGAGCTTTTATTATGCCACAGTCGAAAAATTGCTTATTTCTCTGGATTTAAACATTCTTCGAAGCATTTGGGATAATGTAAGTACACAAGTCAGCAAAATATATAACACTGTTCTAGTGGTTTTTGGATATTTTAATAAAAAAATCTTACATATTGTGCCTTTAAATACAATACATAGCCTATTTTTAAAGGCCGTTTTCTCAAAATGAGTTTTTCTCCTGCATGACCCAGAAATCTCCTCTTCATCTTCAATTTTCCAGCTTTATTCCCATCTATATTCTCAGTTATTTTATATTCATAATATAAAATAATTCATTTTTTTTCTTCTGTTGGTTAAAAGAAAATAAGACAAAGTTCATATGCTGTTTTCTACCAGTTGTCAAATGTTAAAGAATATAAAAATGCCTTTTATTGAAAATAAAATAAAATGTATTTCTGAGTTATGGACTGATAAAAATAGATATACAAAATCCCATCTGTAAAAACATTTAACTCTAATATGTCAGCCTGGGCTATTATAGTTGACTAAAACTAAAATTTAAACCATTAAAAAATGTTACTTGAAATAAAACAAATATAACTAAAAATAAAATTACAAATTAATAAAAAAAAAACTATATACTGTAGACCTATTTTAAAAACTTAAAAATGACAAAAACACAATAAATTACTAAAACTTCAACTAAAATGGAATCAGACAATCTAAAAATAAAAACTATTATAATATCTCAATGAAACTAAGATGACTGAAGAAAAAAATTGTGACCCTGCATTCAATGTTCAGATTTCTGTTATGGAAATGTATGCAAATGTGTGCATTTTTTAATTAGATAATATATAATTTGCATATTCAAACATAACATTTCAGAAAAATTGTACAAAACTGAATGTCTTCATGTACTGTGACTAGTTAACTGGGGAAGCATGGTGATATCTGTTAGTTATTAATGATTTTTCACAGTTGTAAATAAAGATTATTGGAGAGTGTTCAACAAGAAGAAAATACTATTTCAGTCTTCAAAATTTCACAATATAGTTCCATATCCATATAATTGATAGGTAGGCCTATATATTTTATGAGGTATTTTAAATATACCATAGCCCTGCATCGTATTTGTTGTTTCTTACAAATTTTTAGTATGAATGTTTAGTTCAGTGTGTTACTTGCCATTTCTATGTAAGTAACTGAGAGATTTCGGAGTTAAAATTGTTCCTACACTAATTGCCTTGCCTTAAAGGGGTGGTTCACTGGCTTTTTTCTAGGCTTGATTGTGATTATGGGGTGCAGTCTAACATGTGTTAATGCTTAGTTTTTTTAAAAATTCATTATTTTTCACATAATTTACCTTTATTCCACACCGCTCTGTCCCTTCTCTGAGAAACGGGCTGATCTTTTCCTGTTTTTATGAAGCCCCGCCCTCAGAAATAGGCGATGGGCTCTGATTGGTTAGCTAGCCCAGGTGTGTTGTGATTGGCTAAACCAATTTTAAAAGACGACATTTCCGTTTGCATTGAACTTTCAGCTTCGTAACTTTGCAGATATTGTTTATGCTCAAACAGCAACATTACACACTAACTAACGTTAAAAAAGTGAAATCGCAATCAACCACCCCTTTAATATCTCACTTGTTAGACAGCAATACAATTAAAGTCTCCTGCTTCTCAGATGTTCATCCTGAGAAAACACCTGAAAAGCTTGTTTCACTTACGCAAGGAACTTTAGAAACATCCGAAACAAAGTTGATACTTAAATTAACTTTGTGTGTGTTTTTTTTCCAGGAACGTCAGCTGCAGTTCTCCTGCTCACCTGCGGGGGCGCCTGCTCGCGTATCTGTCCGAGCAGGAGCTGCTGGAGTCCTGTCGTTATTGGCTGTGTAATCTGGCTCTGGCCTCTCAGATCAGCCTCTTCATCTTCATCACCGTGCAGGTGCTCCTGCTGGCCTCTGTCATCCTCTTCCTCCGGCGGTTTGAGCTGCTCACCCGGGAGGCGAGGCGCACGGCCGCGGAGAGCTTCACGGCGGAGGATGAATACGCCATGTTAAAAGACAGGAGCTTGTAGGACGAGACGGTCTCAAACCAGACCAAAATGAACTGTGTTCATTTCATTGTAATAATTTTGCACAGTTCATTTTTATTTGTCATATAAAATGTCCCTTTTATATTTATCTCCTTTTTAAATTTTTTGCATACAGTCAAGCAAAAAAACTGCTTAGACAACCAAATATTTACTGTAAAAATAAAGAATAAATCCCTTTTTTAAATGAATATTAAAAAACGTGAACACATCACTCCATCCTTGGTCTCTCTACACTGGCTTCCTGTACAGTAGCCTATATGATTGATTTTAAGCTTCTTTTATAGTGTATAAATCTTTGCATGGCCTTGCACCGGCTTATTTATCAGATCTGCTAATTGAGTAGCAGACTGGAAGAACACTGAGATCAACAACTCAAAAAAAAAAATTTTTTTTTTTTTCCATTGATCAGAGCTTTTTTTTTGCTTTATTAATTCAATGCCACAAGAACATGAGGTATTACATATTCACATTATCAAATTAACATTATTAGCTGCCAGAGGAAAAAAAAGAAAGAAAATTACATCAAGTTCAATGCTTTCAGAGCATTACATGTTTTCAGTGCTTTTTTGTTTTTTGTTTGTTCTAAGAGATTTACATATAATTTAAAGTCATTTGTAAAATGTGCAAAATTTGGTTTACATTGAGCCCACTTCTTCTAACAACTCAAAATTTACTTTTCATATGATTAGTAGCGCCAAGACTTTGGAATAGCTTACCCTTACATGATGCTGACTCTGTACCTACATGTTTTTAAAATACAGATTAAGACACACTTGTTTGTCATGGCGTATTCTTCTTGTTGATAATAATAATAATAATAAACAATAATTATTATTGTTGTTGTTGTTTTGTATTTTGTTATTATTACTATCATAGGTGATGTTTTTAATTATTTCTTATTCTGTTTTTATACCGAGATGATGTAAAGCGCATTGGTCAACATGTGTTGTTTTAATAGTGCTATATAAATACAATTGACATTGACATTTCTTTTGTACGTTCTTTGTAAAAATTACACTCTTGTAAACTTGATCCATTGGTCACAATGAATTAAACAATTTCGGTGCATATTTACAGGTGCATGTGTGTGCTGTGTTCTTGTTATTCACGATTATATCCTTTTTTTATAGCTTCAATTAAATATTTTAAGGTTGCAAAAACAAAGCGCAATATTATTGTTGTTGTTGCTATACTTTACAAATTATAATGTTTGTTTCAAATCATATAAAACATAAAATATAGCATAATATAATATAAAAGACATATATTAATATTAATAATAATACATTTGAAATGTTTCTCTTAGTGAAAGTTTGTTATTCACTATTATATCCTTTTCTTTTTTTATATAGCTTCAATAAAATTTGTTTTTTTAAGTTTTTTTAAGGTTGCAAAAACAAAGCGCATATTTCATCATCATCATCATCATCATTATTATTAGTATGATTATTGTTGTTGTTATTGTTATACTTTACAAATGTTTTAAAATAATATAAAACATAAAATATAGCAGGATATAAATATAAGGCATTTATTAATATGAATAATAATACATTTGAAATGTTTCTCTTATTGAAAGTTATAATTCGCGATAAGTGTCTGTGGTTTTTACCTGATCTCGGATCAGTTTTATCAATTTTTAGACATTTTTAAAGATACATTTGTGCCTGTTTAGACAAGCTCTCCATAAACCAAAACAAGCCATACTCATTAAAAACATATTATTCAAACACTTCATATTTAATGGTATTTGATTATTTTAATTGCATTTAATGTATTATACTTTGCATGTTTTGGCCTGAGTTTTGGCACAAACTATGCAAAAGCAGCAGCACTTCCGGCGCACTAGTGTCCGGATTCGCTCGCTCGAAACATCGATCCCGGAACCTTTTATCGCTGCTGAAGCGCATCGGTCTCATTTAAAGGTTGCATAACATCACCACAGGATCAACACGTGAGTCTTTGCGAATATCGAGACATTTAGATGAATTGGTTACAATAATTTTTTATGCGGATAAAGGACGTAGCGATCCTATTAATGTAGTCAATGTTTGATAACGTAGAAGCTTTCCAGCGTCAGTGATTTAGTGGTTTTTAATGAATGTTAATCTGTTAGCTGATCTCGAGCAGCGTAAACACATCACATCAGCACACGTGAGCAGATATAAGATGATTTCTATATCTCACATTATAACACAGAACATACTCGAATTAGCCACAATGAGTGGTAAAAGATGTGTTGGTCAGCAGTAGCTGGGGAGAAAATCACGAAAACATGTCCAGCCATATATCCTCCTGAGAACCAGAAAAAAAAGTTTATTTTATTTTTATTTTTTTGAGAAAAACATTTTAAAAATATATATACTTTATTCATATTTTATTCTATGTCCATTGTAGAGGATGCCAGGAGAAGTTATTAAAAATAAATAAATAAAAAATAGACATGAAAAGGCATATATAGGCCAAAACAATGGTTTTTTTTTTATTCACCAATCCGTTTTTAGGTTTCTGGCTATTTTTAGCCAAACTTTGCACAAAGATGATTCTCAACTATGTTATGAAAGATGTAACAGAATGATTCAATTCTACTCTTTTACTTTATGCAATATGTGCCATAATTGTCCATACATTGGTATTCCCATTCTATATAATATCTATAGATTGCATCTAATTTGAATATTAATGTGTTCTTGGGGCAAACCATAATGAAAAAAAAGAAATGTAATAATGGGAGTAATAACTTGGCAACATTTTCATACGAATATCTCATATTTCATAGGAATATTGATCTATAATTTCTTTCCCTATTGACTTGCCTGATTAACATGATGTTTGTCCTGGTGTCCTCTACAGAAGACATGGATGCAAATTATGCCCTGTTTCGTAACAAAAAGTCATATTCCGATTTGAAACCCCATAACATTTTTCTGAGATGTTTATTTACGACATCTATGAGATGTTTATTAGCCAGATTTAAATGATCATTAAAAAACATTATCATATTTCCCTAAGAATGCTAAATTTGATAATTCTATCAATGTCAGTCATATTTAAAGACCAAGGAGAGGGAGTGTTTATGATGATCAAACCTCCAAACATTTGATATCTCTAAAAAGCCCTGAATGTGCACTCTACAGGACATCCAGACCTTAAACTGTGGCATGTAGGGTCTCAGAGAAATTCACTCAAATAGAATGTCCTCTATGAGTCCCAGGAGGATATCGATGTCACATTTCAACCCAAAATGAAAACGCGCATCAAATATTTGCTTGAATAAAATGACGCATATTTAAGGACCGTTAATATGTTTGCACTGTGATTTTATGTTCATTTCAAGTTTCTTGTCGTGTTCTTGACAGATGCTCATCACATTCTCTGCTGAGCTTCACATCTCTGAGGGTTTGTGTTTGGACCTATAAAGTTCTGCCATGGGCAGATTAAGAAAGAAACACAACTGGAAAGGCAGACAGCAGAGCACATCTGCGCAGACAGCTGCTGCAGACAGACAGACAGATGTGCAGGTGGAGATACAAGGTAAGATGCATGCGCGATCATTACCTCTGCAATATAAGTCGTTGTCATTAGGTACGCAATAAGAAGCAGAAACCATTCATTTAACATCCAATAACAAGCATGGAACATTGGGGAAAAAGCAACGTGTATGCAAAATGACTTAAATGCAACACAGTTTATTAAGGCAAATGTAGTATTTACTGTAAATTACCCTAATTGAGGACAATTAAAATTCTTCTATACTTGTCTCTGTAAAATTACACTCTTTTGTAAACTGTTAATCCACTGACTTAAGCGATTTTTGTGCATATATTTACAGGTGAAGTTGTTTTTGTTATTTATATATCAGTTTCTTTTTATTTCTTACAGTTCATTAAAAATAATTGTTAAAAATAATTTAAAATGGCCACAAAGCAAAGCAAAATTCCATTATTATTATTATTATTATTATCACTACTACTATTACTACTATTTTTATTATTAAGTAAAAGTTTTAGTGTTTAGACAAATATTATATTATATTGTATTATATTATAGTAAAGCTTTTTGAAATGTTTCTCTCAGTGAAAGTTCAGTTTTGACCACAGGGAAACAGAAAACCCGCACATAAATGCAGACGGTGATGATAGATGATTATGATCTAAAAAATACTATAATATTAATATATACACTCCTGGGCGAAAAAAGGGCCAAGCCAAAAATGGCTAAATATTTAGCTTTTAATAGTGTCATTATCTGAGACAGGAGTGCATTTGCTAAATTCTTGCTAATTTTCTTACTAATAACTTGTGGTTAAGATCATTAAAAGCTTAGAGTTTAGGCATTTTGGGCTTGGCTCTTTTTTCTTTTTTTTTTGCCCAGGAGTGTAATTTGTTTAGTTATTCTAAACAAAGGCTAATTTCAGTTGAATTTTAAGGCTTCGGTTTTTAGATGCATCACTAATTATTATAATATCCACTGAATCATCTAGATGAAGGTTTTTATGATGGTATGATACTGTAGAAGTATCACATGACAGCTGTAGAGCTCGTTTTGTGTCATTTTCAAGATATTAAGTATGTCTGCACTCTTTCACACGTGTGTGTTGTTATATCAGCAGTTCAAATGTGTGTGTTTTGTGTGATTGTGTGCAGATGGAGCCATGCTTAAAGGAGTAGACGACTGCAACGCTCTTGTTCTGCCCGCCACCAAAACCAAGAAACAAAAAGTAGAGCATCCTGTAGCCAAGAAAAAAGCCCTGACAAATGACAAGATGCGCATTAAATATCGCATGCGATTTATCATGCAGCCCTAGTCTGCACTCTTTCACACGTGTGTGTTGTTATATCAGCAATTCAAATGTGTGTGTTTTGTGTGATGCGATTGTGTGCAGATGGAGCCATGCTTAAAGGAGTAGACGACTGCAACGCTCTTGTTCTGCCCACCACCAAAACCAAGAAACAAAAAGTAGAGCATCCTGTAGCCAAGAAAAAAGCCCTGACAAAGAAGCAGAAGAAGAACCTGGAGAAAGTTCTGGAGCTGAAAGAGAAAAAAGCCCATGTAAGGAGAGCGAGAGTTTGTGAGACTGATGTGTCTGCTGGG